CTAAACATAGGGGGAGAAAGAAGAAACTTTGAGATGCAGATCGTGAGTAGTTGAGAAAAGCTACCATTCCAAGTAGCTGAGGTTAGTCAGAAAAGTGACAATAAAGTGCTATTGTGTTTATGATGGCTCTTAGCTCCAGCTTCCTTTAGAGTAAATACTACTATTTGTTTATCCTGTGCTCCATCCAGGACAAAGATACTTCTTGAGATTGATGCCATTAACCTACCTTCTGTACCTCATTTCCTGAGTTTTCCACGAAGAAACCCCCTGGAAACATCCACAGGCATTTCAGGTTCCCCTGCACCTATACCATCTCACTTTCTCATCTGCTCACTTCTCCTTCCCTCCTCAACCAGTCAAGCCTACTCACTCTTTGTGGCCCAGCTCAAGCGTCAGGGCCCCTGTGAAACTTTCCCCAAATACATGGATTTCTCCTTTCCCTGACTTCTCATAGTACCTGCTGTCGTGTAATTCTAGAGACCATATCATTAGTTATCACTGTCATGTGTGTGCTCTATTCCTACAGCTAAATTACAGGCCCATTAGAACAAGTTTCTTTCTTTCTTTTTTTTTTCTGAGTTGGAGTCTCACTCTGTTGCCCAGACTGGAGTGCAGTGGCCGCTCCCGGCCACCGCAGCCTCGACCTGCTGGGCTCCGGCGATCCTTCCGCCTCAGCTTTCCAAGTAGCCGGAATTACAGGCACGCACTACCATGCCCAGCTGATTTTTTTTTTTTTTAATTGTAGAGATGAGGTCTTGCCGAGTTGCCCAGGCCAGTCTCGAACCCGCAGGCTCAGGCAATCCACTCACCTCAGCCTCCCAAAGCGCAAGATTACAGGCTGAGCCACCGAGCCCAGCTAGAACAAGTTTCATATCGTAAATGGTTCTGAGCTTCCCCTCAGACAACATCTTGCACAAAATATGTACTCAGTAGACACTTTATTGATTGGTCCAAAGTCAATTAGACTCTAAGAATATGAATGTCTTGTTTCATCATTAATAATTCAGTTTTATTAAGCCGCGGTTAGCATTTAGACATGTGAAATGGAGAGATTCATCACTTAATACTTCAAAATATCCTGAGTTAAGACTCTCTAATCATAGGAGCTGTTATTGCCTTAAGTGGTTATTTGAAAATACCATTTAGCCATACATTTTTGTACAGTCTTCCTTTTAATCCTGACTGTTGACTTGAAGGTACACCAAACAGTTCAGTGATCCTCACTCCAAGATGATTCTGACTTATAAACAACCTAACTTCTCATGAGGACTACCTTACTTTCAGTAACCTAATAAGCGTTGTTTTCTCTACCTTCACGTCCATCAATAGTATAGATAATTCAAAGTATACCCACAGAAAAGTTTGTATTTTACTTTCTAGGATAACAGCTGCCTTCATTAGTTCCCCCCTCAATTAATTACAATGATTCAGTTCTCACGTTTCACTCCTTCCTTGTGTATGAGAAAAACAGAAACAAAAATGAGGTTTATTGAGGAATTACGAAAATAAGCACTGTTATAAGAAGGAATCCTAATTATTCGTGGGAAACTCTCCTAACCAAACCCGCTCTCCTCGCTGAGATAATTCCTCCTGCAAACAAGATTGCAGAGCAGACAAAGGGGGAGAGTGCCCGAAGGAGAGGAAGCAAGAGGTGTACTTGGCCAATCAAACCGACCCCCGTCCTCAACATCTGGCTCCCAGCAGAACAGTAAGCAATGACAACTGCTACCCATCCGCTGCTGGTTCCCGCTCAGGCTCTCCCCGGACTTTTCCTTCCTCCCCGCAGTAGGGCCCGAGTGACCGAGTCCGTGCCCCGCGCCAAGGTGCGCGGCGCGGCGGGGTCTCGCACGGAGATGACCTCAGAGCGCGCGGCCCGCGCCCCGCCGGCCTTTCCCGCGGCCTGGCAGCCCCC